AAAATTAGAAGGAAAGCAGGAAACTGGGGGGAAAAATTATAGCAAGTTTTCCTGATAAAGACCTCATTTCTCAAATATTTTAGGAACTGAGTCAAATTTATAAAAAAAGAACCATTACCCAATTGATCAAAGGATATGAATGGACAGTTTTCAAAAGAAGAAATCAATTATTAATAATCATATGAAAAAAATGCTCTAAATCACTAATAGAGAAATGTAAATTAAAACAACTCTGACATACCACCACCTCATACCTATCAGATTGGTTAACGTGACAGAAAAGGAAAATGTGGGAGGGAATGTGGAAAAATAGGGACACCAATGTACTTGTTGGTGGAGTTGTGAACTGGTCCAACCATTCTCGAAAGCAATTTGGAACTATGCCCAAAGGGCTATAAAATTGTGCATACCCTTTGGACCCAGCAAAACTACTCCTAGGGCTGTATCCCAAAAAGATCATAAAAATGGGGAAAGGACCCATATGTACAAAAATATTTATAGCAACTCTTTCTGTGGTAGCAAAAAATTGGAAACTGAGGGGGTAACCCATCAACTGGAGAATGGCTGAACAAGTTGTGGTATATGAACGTAATGGAATACTACTGTGCTATAAGAAATGATGAGCAGGCAGACTTCAGAAAAACCTGGGAAGACTTGCATGGACTGATGCTGAGTGAAGTGAGCAGAATGAGGGGAACATTGTACACGGTAAAAGTCACACTGTGTGATGACTGACTTTGATAGACTTAGCTCTTCTCAGCAATGTAAAGATCTATGACAACTCCAAAAGACTCATGATGGAAAGTGCTATCCACATCCATAGAAAGAACTATGGAGTGTGAATGCATATCAAAGCATACTATTTGCTTTTTTTTTCCTTCTGTTTTGTTTTGTTTCTTCTTTCTTGTGGTTCCTCCTATTGGTTATAATTCTTCTTTACCACATGACTAATGTGAAAATGTGAAAATATGTTTAATAGAAATGTATATGTAGAGCCTATATCAGATTGTACACTTGTCTTGGGGAGGGAGGTGAGGAGGAAAGAGGAGAAAATTTAAAACTCAAAAGCTTGTGGAAGTGAATGTTGAAAACTAAAAATAAATTAATATTAAAAAAAGAAAAAGGAAAAGGACCAGTATGTACAAAAATATTTATAGCAATTCTTTTTTTAGTAGCAAAGAATTGGAAATTGAGGGGGTACCCATCAACTGGGGAATGGCTGAACAAGTTGTGCTTTATGACTGTGATGGAATACTATTTTCCTGTAAGAAATGACAAATGGGATGGTTTCAGAGAAATCTGGAAAGATTTATATGAACTGATGTCAAGCAGTCATCCAGCCTCTGCCTCAAGACCTCCACGCAGGGTGAACCCACCACTTCTCCTGGAAGCCAATTCCACTTTGTATGCTTCTAACTGATGGGAAGTTTCTACTGACATCAAGCCCAAATTTGCCTCTTGGTCCAAAGTAAGTCCAATCCTTCCTCCACATATCAGTCCTTCAAATACTTATATGTATCATGTTTCCCTAGAATCTTCTCTCCTCCATCATAAATTTATTCAGTTCTTTCAACTGATTTTCACTTATCACCAATTCAAGGCCCTTTCTGGTTGTCCTTCTCTGGACACTACAGTTTTTTAATTTTCTTCTTATATCATAGCACCCAGAACTGGAAACAATACTCAATTACAGTGCAACTATCACCTTCTTATTCTTGAAAGCGAGTTTTCTAAAGATGACTGTTTTTAAATTGGAGTGGGGAAAGATTTGAGGCAGGGAGATCAATTAGGCTATTGGCAGTAATCCAGGTGAGAGGTGATACAAGGGCTAAAACAGATATAAAAGGTCACTAAAAGTCACAAATCTTTTTCCTTTACAATTACTGTCTAATCATACTTAAGCTTTTATCATGAAATCTTCCCTGATTCCAACTCCATGACTCCCCTCCTTCTACCCATAATATTTTCACTCAGCTCAAATTACCCTGTATTTAGCTATATATTAGTACATGTTGTATCCTCCCACTAGGATGTAAGCTCCTTGAGAGAAGGAATGTTTTATTTTTGTCTTTCGTATCACAAGTGAGTCCAGTGTTTTCTGGAAAATATGGCAATTCAAAAAGACAAGTTCAGGGGACTCCTTAATAGTCCTTAACACTAACATGGAACGTTGAAGACAATAGGCACTTAATGTTTGTTGAATTTGACTGAACAGCATAGAATATGCATTCAAATATTTGTTGAATGATCGAGTTTTTAGGTACCTTTGTAGCAGTTCACATTAACTGTTTTATATTTTTATTATTTAATATATATCATGAATTACTTTTCCAACCAGGCTGTAAGCTGCTTCAGGGCAGGGATCTCTGTTAGCATCCAAAAATGGTGGGCATGTAAGATGTTCAATTCTAGCTGAATTCAAATTGGGATAAATCTACTTACACTGATTTTCTATTTATATTTGTTCCTGTCAATATAGTGAAAAGTCCTGATTTTGACACCAAAAGATTTAAGTTTGAACCTTCTATGTCCTATTCATAGTTGAGTGACCCTAGGCAGGTCAATTTTTCTGGACCTCAATTTCCTCATCGGCAAAATGAAGAGATTTGACTGGATAATCTCTAAAATACTTTCAAGCTCTAGAATTCTATGATTCTAGGTTACAACCCATCTAAGCCTCCACACCCTCATCAATGAAGATAACAATTCTTACCCTAACACTTTATTTTTAATATTTTATAAACTTTCAATTGTCATGAGGTTTTTTGAGGGATCAAATGACAAAATGTGTAAAGGGCTTCAAAAGTATAATGGGTGGGGGAGACAGGTGGGTACAGAGAGAAGGTAGATTTTAGTTAGCTGAAAAATAAAATAAAATTTATTTAAAATTTTTTTTCAAGTATAAAGTACTATGTCAATGTGAACTATTATTATTTTCTATAACTATGGAACTGGAATACAACTGGATCATCAAGTTACTTTGTACCACTCAAATTACCTCATTACTCATCTTTCTTCAAAATGATCATGATCTCTTAATCATCAAATATGATAATCTCAGTCCCTCATTCTTCTTGGCCTCTGACTGCATCTGACATCGCTGACCCTCTCTTCTCTAGCATGTTTTTTCCTCTCTGAGTTTTCTTGACACTATTCTCTGGTTGTTCCTCCTACCTCACTGACCTCTATATCACACACCCCTTAAATCAGGGTATTCCCTAAGGCTTTGTCATGAATCCTTCCCTCTCTCACAGTGATCTTATCAGCTCCCATGAGTTTAATTATGTTTATGCAGATGACTCCAAGATCTATACATATCCAGCCTAAGTCTCTCTGTGGAGTTCTAGTCCTGCATTACCACTTACTTATTAAGACATTTCAAACTGGGTATCTCAGAGAGATGTCTTAAACTCAACATATCCAAAAGAACTCATTATTTTTTAATTTCCCTCTTTCTGTCAAGAGCATTGCCATCTTTCCAATCTTGCGGACTTGTACACTCAGTCATATCCAATTCCTCCATCTCATTCCACATACTGAATCATTTGACAAATCTTGCCCTTTTTACTTTCACAATATTCTTCACATCTGACCTGAACCCTTCTCTATATTTCTCACACAACCACCTTTAATTCAGGGGCCCTCCTCATCTCTCATCTGGACTACTGCCAACAGCTTCCTACTTGATCACCCTGCCTCAAATCTTTCTCCATTCCAATTACTCTTCCATGAAGAGGCCAAAATGATTTTCCTCAAGTGAAGATTTAACTATATCACTCTGCTACTTGATAAAATCTAGTGATATGCCATTGCCTCTAGGATAAAGTATAAATTATTCTGATAAGCTTTTAAAACCCCTCACAAACTGACCCAATCTACCTCTCCAGCTCATTATACATTATTCTCCTTCCCTTACTCTATGGTTCATCCAAACCAGCTTTCTCAGTTCCTCACCCAAGCATTTTATCTCCCATTTCTGAGCTTCTGCACTGGTCTTCCCCCAGGCCTGGAAAGCACTCTCTTCACTGTCTCAAAAATTCCCTCACTTCTTTCAAACTCACCTTCTACACAAAGCCTTTCTTGACTTTCCTCCCCAATAGCTAGTGCTCTCCTTAACTACCTTGAAGTTATTTATATTTATATTTATTCTACATGTATTTATATCAGAATATTTTGTCTCCCCCAATAGAAAGTAAGCTCGTTCAAAGAAAAGCGTTTCTCTTTTTTTTTTTGGTCTTTCTATTCCCTATCACCTAGCAGAGTATTTGGTACATGAGCAACTGAAAAATACTTACTGATGGACCAAAATAATCTCTAAACTGAACCAATACATTATTTGGTTCAAAGTCCGATATGACAGGGTATTAACACATGCTAACTGTTTTAGTAGCCTAATATATAAACTATATTTCTGGCCATCAGGTCCCTAACAGGAGGAACAATTTGTTAGAAGCTGAAAATGAGGAAAAGTGGATGGGTGAAAAGAGATAGAAAAGTGGTAGAAATGGGAGAGAAGAATATAGCACAAACACAAGATCATATATTTAGGGTTGAAGGGAGTGTAGGGACCATCTAGTCTTAACCTCTATTTTTAGACATGAATAAACTGAGGGCCAGAAAGGTTAAATGATTTGCCTGAGGTCTCACACGCAAACCCAGCTCCTCTGACTCTAAATCTAGCACTCTTTCTACTATGTCAGAATTCAATGCTCCCCACTTTCCTACTTAGTTTACACCCTGAGTTGAGAAGGAATGTACAAATGCTTCAGATTTTTCCTGTCATAACTAGGTAAATGTTCAAGTTGAAGTGAAATGTAGCTTCAAAGCAGTCTATATAATAGTACTACTATTTTTACAACTCTTATATCTCTACAGTATACTAAATTCTAAATTAAGTTGGGAATATACTTAGTCAAACTGTAGACATAGTTTTATAACAGATGTACAAACAATTAAAGTAGGTTGCTGTACCCCAAAAATCAAAATGTTTCATATCTTACCTGTTTACCCTCCTAGGACATTTGTCTGGTTTAATATCTACCTCATAGAGATAGACATCAATCTTTGGGATTTCAACTTGGAAGCAGTTGGCCAGCAGCTTAATGGGTTTGCCCATGGTGCCATAGCCAGGACGTCTGGGTACCATGAGCAGGGGCTGTGCCCCAACGGGTCCTGCTAGGAAAAAAAAGAGAATATATCATCACACCTTACATTTGCTATATTAGGGTCAGAAATTTAGAGGAGGGAAATCTTATCTTGGGATCCATAAACTTATTACCTAAAAATTATAACTATTTCAATGTAATTGGTTTAATAATCCTATGTATTTTATTTTATGCATTTAAAAATATTCTGAGACAAGGTCCATAGCCTTCACTAGACTGCCAAAGTGGGCAGAAGGTAAAAAAAAAGGGGGGGGGATGATGAAGAAGCTTATAAATCCCTGTTCTACATGACTAATATTCACACTTTCATATTCAAGTGGGGTAACCTAATAGTACTTGATAGCTCTTGCATCTGGGCTTGTTGCAAAGCTTAATATATATACCTTGGGTTGAGGGTTCCTATGTATTTAGTATGAAAAAAGTCAATACTGACATTGTTGCCTATAACTGTATGTCACATTTACTTAGAGATAATCATCCTAAAACTATTGAGATACCCACAATAGTGAATTTTTTTGGGGGGGTGAGGCAATGGGGGGTTAAGTGACTTGCCCAGGGTCACACAGCTGGTAAGTGTCAAGTGTCTGAGACATGACTTGAACTCAGATCCTCCTAACTCCAAGGCCAGAGCTCTATCCACTGCTGTCACCTAGCTGCCCCTACAATAGTCAATTTCAAAGGAAGGAGTCATGTGATCGGTAAGAGCTTACTAAGCAATGCACTTCAGGAGTCAGAAAGTCGAATGGAGATGGGAAGGGGTAAGATTAGAAATCTCTTGCTCAATAAGTATTTATTAAGCACTAACTATGTGTCAGGTACTGTGCTAGGCACTGGGAATACCACTACCACCTTCCTGCCTCCCAAAAAAAGGGCAAAAGACAGTCACTGCTCTCAAGAAGCTCACAGTCTAATGGTGGGGAAACATACTGCTATGTACAAACAAGTTATCGACAGGATAAATTGGAAATGATCAACAGATGACACTAGCATTAAAGGTAAACAAAAAAAGCTTCTCATATAAAAGGAGATTTTATCTGGGACGTGAAGGAAGCCAGGAAAGCCAGAAGGTAGAGATGAGGAGGGAGATTATTCTAGACCAAAAAAAATGCCTAGAGCCTAGAGAGTGTCTTGTTCCAGGAATAGCACAGAAGCTAGTGTCACTGCATTAGAGAGTTCATTGAGAAGATTTAAGGTGTAAGAAGACTAGAAAGGTAGGAGGAGGGGGCCAGGTACAAATATGAATGGCTTTGAAAGTCAGAGGATTTTTTATTTGATCCTAAAGGTAATTTTTTTTTTTATCCTAGAGGTAATAGGGAACACTTATTGGACTTTATTGAATGGGGGCAGTGACATAGTCAGATTAGATATGAAGGGTGAATGAAAGTAAGGAGTTGAAGATGACATCTAGATTGTGAATCTAGGTGACTGGGAGTATGGTGGTGCCCTTGACAGTAATAGAGAAATTTGAAAGCAGAGAGAGTTTGGGGGGAGGAGGAAGATGAGTTGTTTTGTTATACAGAACTTTCAAACTCCCTCCACTTGGACAATTTATAGTCTTAGAAACATCTGTGACTTTTGACAGTGGCTTCATTGCCAATATGTCGGAACAAGCCTGGAACTCAGGTCTTCTTGATTCTAAAGCTGGACTTTTGGATACTATACTATGCTGCCTCCCCGCCCCCCAACAAATACACACACACACACAAACACACACACACACACACACACACACACACACACACACACACTTCAGTAACTTTTGGGCGGGTGGGGAGAGGCAATTGGGGTTAAGTGACTTGCCCAGGGTCACACAGCTAGTAAGTGTCAAGTGTCTGAGGCCACATTTGAACTCAGTTCTTTCTGACTCCAGTGCTGGTTCTCTGTTCACTGTGCCACCTAGCTGCCCTACTTCAATGCCTTCTAATAATTATAAGAGGGAGATTAAGTCTAGGCCAAACATGTTTTCATTGCTCTCCAGGATGCAATGTTGACTTATTTCCTCAAGCCATTCTTAAGGATTGAGTGAATGAATGGCAAGGCCATTAAAAATGTAAGGCCACATCTACAACCAGTGGCAATCACTCTGACTTTGTTTTACCTAGTTATTTTCTGATAAGGTACTAGGTTGGTGGTTAGTGTGATTAAACCTATTTGTTGTGCCAAAACAGAAGAAAAGAAAAAAGGGAGAATCTCCATGGAGATGGCACTTAACAGTCCATCCTGGAGTTGCTCACTTTTCTTGCCAAAAGATTTCAATCTTCCTCCAGCAACAGTCAAATCAAGATGGAAATTCAACCGATGCAAACGTATCGAGGGCCTACGGTGTGCACCAGCTCTTGGAGATACAAAGAGAAACCAAATAGTCCTTTGCCTCAAGGAGGGGAATACAACACATACACAGATATATGCGTGTGTGTATGTGTGTGTGTGTGTGTGTGTATGTATGTATATATGTATGTATGTATATATATATATATGCGTATCACACTAACTTGTAGAGAGCAAGAGAAATAAATATTAAAGTATTCCAAGAAACTTTTAAAAGGGAGAAAATAATAGTAATGAAGGAAATTACAGAGGACTCCATGGAAGAAGTGGTACCTGAGCTAAATCAGAGCTGAGAAGGAAGGACATTCCAGGCATGGGATATAGCTAGTAGTTCAATATTGCTAGAAAACAAGGTGTTAATAATAGTTAGCATTTATACAGCACTTCCAGATTTGCAAATGTAAATGCTTTGTGCATTTGGTATTTGCTTTACCTATCTTTACATACATAACTCATTTGATCCTCATAACAATTATATGAGAAATGTCCTAATATTATTATTATTCCCATTTTACAGATGAGGAAACTGAGAGACACAGGTTAAGCAACATCCTCGGGGTCCCACAGCTAGTAAGTGTCTAAGGAAGGATTTGAACTCAGGTCTTCCTGTCTCCAAGTTCCAAAGTCTACCCCAGAGGTATCAAATACCACTCTGCATTACCACTTGTGCCCTACAGGGGTCTTATGTACAGTTTAGTGGCCCTTTGAGTTTGACACCAAGTTCTATCCAACGTGTCACCTAGCTGCCCAGTACATAATTTGGATTAAGGCAAAATAAAGCTAGAAAGGTAGAGTAGAGCCAAATTGTGAAAGTGCTTAAATGCCTTTAACCTAAAGGCAACAGAAAACTACTGAAAGTTTGAGCAGGGGAGTGATGAGCATAAGGAAGATTTTCTTTTCCTCCCATGGCTAAGCAAAGGACGAACTGAAGAGGGATACATTAGAAGTAGAAAGAACAATATAAAGGCCATTTCATAACTTTAACCAAGTGGTGATGAGAGCCTTAATTAGAACAGTAGCAGTATAAACAGAGAAAAAACAATGCAAAATATGTTGTAAAGACTTGGCAAGTGAATGAAAATTTGGAGTAAAGGATAAGGAAGAATCAAAATTCATTGTTAGGTTATAAATGTGGGTGAATGGAATAATGGGAAGGACTCAACAAAAATAAGGTAGTAATAATAGTTAACACTTCTGTAATGCTTTAAGGTTTGCCAAGCACTTTACATATATTAATTATTGTACTTAAACCTCACAACAACCCAGTGAAGCAGGTGCTATTACTGAACCCATTTTGCAGATAAGGCTGAGAAGTTAAAATAACTTTCCCAGTGTCAGCTAGTGTCTGAAGTAGGATTTGAATTCAATCTTCCCTAACTCCAAATCTGACATGCTATCTACTATGTGACCTAGCTGCACAGTTTAGAGGTGGACTGAAGAAGAAAGGTAAGGAGTTACATAGGACAGTAGATTTTACAGATAAGAAACAAAGGCCCAGAGAGGTTAAGGAACTTGCCAAGGGCAGGTAAGAGTCATCCAGATAGTTAAGTGGCAAAACTGGAATGTAAAGCAAGGTTCTTCGGACTCAAAACCAACATTTTTTTCAGGGCAGCTAGGTGGCACAGTGGATGAAGCACTGGCCAGAGCAAAGGCCCTGGAGTCAGGAGGAACTGAGTTCAAATCAAATATATATAATATAATAAACCCAACATTTTTTCCCCTGTACTACGATTTTCAAGTGTCAATGAGACAACTAGGTACTTATGTCCAACAGGCACATATAGACATAAAAAGAATCGGATCACAGTAAGAGAATTACGGAGATGGAAGAGACCCCAATGGTCATTCAGTCCAACCTATACCTAAAAAAGAGACCCACTACAACAGACCATACAAATCTCGGTCAAGTCAAGACGTATTCAGCATCTACTATGAGCCAGGTACTGTGCTAAGCACTGATGATACAACAAATAGCAAAAGACAGTCCCTACTCTCAACAAGCTCAGTCTAATGGGAAAGACAGCATGCAACAGCTACGTATAACAAGATACAGACAATATTAATTAGGGATAGTTCTAGAGGGAAAGCATTAAGATTGAGGAAAATTAGAAAAGACTTCTTACAAAAGGTGGGACTTTAGATAAAACTTAAAACAAGCCAGGAGGCAGAGATGAGGAAGGAGAAAATTCTCCTTCTTGTGGGGGACTGCCATGGGGAACAGTCAGTAAAAATACCTGGAATCAAGACATGTACAAGAAAGAACAAGGAGGCCAGTTTCACTAATTACAGAGTATATAGGGGAAGGGGTGGGCATTTAAGAAGACTGGAAAAGTAGGAGGAAGCCAAGTTATAAAGAGTTAAAAAGCCAAACAAAATTTTATATTTGATCATGCAGGCAACGGGGAGCCACTAGGAGTTTACTGAACAGTGAGGTGACATGGTACTTCAGGAAGATCAATATGACAGCTAAGTGGAGGATGAACTGGAATGGGGAGAAAATTGAGACAGGGAAAGCAAACAGCAAGCTACTGTAATAGTGCAGACATGTGGTGATAAGGGCCTGTGTATCAGGGTGCTGACGGTGTCAAGAACAGAGAAGAGAACCTATGTGAGATTTGCCATGAAGGCAGAAATGATAAGATTTGACCACTGATTGGATATTAGGGAGGAGGGAGTGAG